TACTCAATGTAAGTATTTACCAAATAAATGGATTAGTGTTAGTCTGGACCTGTAGATCTCTTCAGAACACACCTGGGATCCAACACTTCACTTGAAGCCAAATCAAATGAAGTGTTTAAAAACAAATCACAAAATTGTATAGAAATGTATAAGTTAAATTTTTTTTTTTAGATAAGAATTTGACTTTTACGTTCAGAAAAATGTCAGTAAAAGTATGATTTAAATTCTGTATCTAAGTAAGCGTTAGGAAAATAAAAGCTAAAAGTGCTAATATATACACAGATCTTTGACAAAATAATGAACGAAATCTGATGTTGGGGCTTTTTAGTAAAACTTTTAAAGGAAAATGTCAGTTAAAAATATATCAACAAATTCAACGATTCTTTTCATCGTACAGGATTAAAAACTCAGTTAAAAATATATCAACAAATTCAATGATTTTTTTTTGTCGGCGCTCCTTTAAGGTTGCACCCTTCTTTGCAATCGGATATGGATATCGTACAGGATTAAAAAACCTTAAACAGGGTCAAATTTAGTCATAGATTCCAGTAAATATATAACCATGAGCCACTTTTGGATCACCAGCCACCAGTTGAGAAACACTGGTCTAGACTATAGCAGTGTGAGGCCAGCACTGAAATGCCAACAAGAGGAAAAGAACGCGGAGTAAACAGCGCCAACAGAAAGCTATTTTTCTACAGCTGTTTCTGATCTACACGCCCTGAGCACAGAAATAAGACGTTCGTCAGAGTTCGTCTCTATTTTGGTTTGTTCTGTTCAATCGTTGGAGAATAAAAGTAAAAGATTCTCTGTAGAAGGAGAGGAGTCGTTTATAAAGATGATGACAGGACTGTCGAGGAGTCAAACGTACCACGGATATCAAACAGAAGCTATTTTAATACTATTCTGCAAACAATTCTTCAAAAAAAAAAACAACATAATAAATATATTCTGATGTTACAAAAATAACTGCTTTTATTGACCGTCGCCTTGTTTTTGTTTTGTTTTGTGTCTTGGAGAAGACGCGCCATGTTCTTCCTGTGCCGTGTGCTCGCTGTGGCCAAGTGTCCAGTCGGTGTGTGTGTGTGTGTGTGTGTGTTCAGATTGGCTTCTCTGGCAGACTAATATATAGATATTCCTTTTCTCCTCTGTATATTTTGGCACCAGGCTGTATCCTGTAGCTGTTTGTTCTCATGTTTTCGATGGTTTCTTCCACAGCTGTTGGTTGTTTCGCTCCTGGTTGCACTGATTTTTTGCCGAGTCGTTGATATTGTTTTCCTGTTTGCACCAATGAAAGCTGTTTATTGCAATGACTTAAAGTCAGACTGTGCTCTTTTTTACTCACACAGAACATGGATACGCACCTACAGTACAGTACAGTACAGTACAGTACAGTACGGTACAGTACAGTAGGTCATAAATAACAGATACATAATCATATATGTGAAATATTAAGTCATGACTAGGAGCCATGACAGTTAATAATTATAAATCTGATCATTTTAAGGTAAAAGTCTCTGGTGAGAAGAAAGGAAATGACAATGAGGCTGAAAGAAATTCAAAAGACAAAGTACATTTTAAGCAGAAAAAGTTAGAATGACTGTATGGCATCATTAGAAGAGTCGGCTAAAGTGAAAGATGAAATAAAAGTAGAATTATAAAAAGGGATGGGAAGTCATGGTTACGTCATGGTTATGAGAAATGATAATAACGAGAATGAGACAAGTCATAAATGAGATGAGAAGTTGTTGCTGTGAGACAAAAATACAGAACCGTGAGGGGAAAAATGTCCAAAGTCTGAAAAGACGTGTTAGTGAAGCAGAGGAATTTGTTTTCTATATTTCTTAAGAACAGCAGAGGAGCTGTGAAGGTGTCTTTAGGAAAAATAAAAAAATAAAAAGACAAATGTTTTGGAAGAGACAGGTTGGAAACACCTAGTGATTTTATGAGGTCTCATGGAACAGACTGTCCACTGCTGACAGGGAGTCAAAGAAAAAACACCAGAACTTTCCACATATTTGTTTCTCTCCAAAACTCTGAGAAACGTTTCACAGGAGGCAGAAAGGCCAAAAATAAGAAGCTCAGCCCAGAGCTTCAACAAACCTGAGGAGTTTGTTTGGACACACTTTCAGTCCTGGCTCTGAAGTACTGCTGAGATATTTCAGCTTCACAGAAATACACAGAGACAAACAGAGAGCAGTGAAGCTCTGAAGTGTTTGTGCAAAGACTGTGTGGACAGAAAATAAAGCAACCGAGCTGCTGAGCTGTGGATCCAGCAGAAAAGATCATCAAATATCACATCGGTACGTAGACGCTGCCAGGATCAGAGAGTGATGGAGAAGGTGAAACCTGCTGTGATGTATGGACGGACGACAAACGGCTGAAGATGACGAAGATGCTGAGGTTTTCACTGGGACAGGATCCGAGACGAGCAGATCAGAGGGACAGCGAAGGTGGAGCAGTCTGGAGATGAAGTCAGAGAGGTGAGGGGACAAGGTGAGAGCGAGGACGACGATCTGCTGTGGCGACCCCCAAAGGGATCATGGGAAAACTGAAGAAGAAAGAAGAAGGTAACAGCAGGTAGACTGAGCCTGAAGCTACAGTGAAACTATGAGTCAAAATATTATTAGCAGTAGTAGTAATAGTAGTAGTATTTATTTTTATTTAGCAAAGGACTGAAATGTTTTAATTAGGGATGTCTGATATTAACATTTTGCCTTCTTCTTGTTATTAAATTCCTCTACTCACTTTCAACTTAAAGTATTTATAGGATGACATGTTCTGGTCTTTGCAAGACTTGGGATTGGGATTATAGTAAATTCAAACATTCAGTCAAATATCATGCTATATTTTGCTAACTTCTAGCTGAAATTTTTTGAAATTTTCCGTACTTCATTACAGCTAACTTTTACAGGGAGTTGTTGAGTTCATTGTCAGACTTCTTTTAGCTAACTAAATTTTGTTTGTAGCGTTTAGATAATTATGGCTAAATTTTCTAAAGTATATTCTTGGATATTGTTTTGGCTGCTTGGCGTTTCTTTTTTTTAGTTACGTCAAGCTATTTCTGGACCTTTCATTTCTAGCTATCCGTTGCATGAAGCAGCTACAGTAACTGTTAGCTTTGTCTTTTAATTAAATTAAATTTTAAATTGAATTAATTAAACTGTCGGGAGCAATTTCCCTGTTTATTTTCATATTCTCTTTAGACCAATTAATAATACTAACTTAAAGCATTGCTTGCTATCCTTTAGCTTTTGCATTAGCTAACTTTCTTTTGCTATCGTTTGCATACCAGGGTAACTTTAGCTCCACATGCTTGATTTAAGCTACGTTCCCTTTGTCTATTAGCTGTTCTTTTTCTTGACTATGTCCTAGGAAACACAACACAACCCAACACTGAAGTACAGGGAGGGTACTTTAAATGTCTTTAGTACTGTAGTACTGCAGTGATTTGTACACTGTCCGCCGACCGTCAGGTTTCTGTGGAGTAAACTCAGCGAGAACACGTGATCACACACACACACACACACACACAATTAAACGTGGCCACACCCAGTCACTGACATTGATGTTCCAGGAAATTCAGACTCCAGCTCAGTGTCCAGTAACAGAACAATATTAGCTGAGCATGTCTGATACCGCGTATGTGTGTGTGTGTGTTTTGAAGATAAGCTCAGGACAATGAAGTACACACACTGTTTCCAATGTATCAGGTTCATATCTGTGATGCGACTCAGTGACCTTGACAAGAAGATGAGTTGAAAACACACACACACACACACCTAGACACACAAAGATATGAGGAAAATACTGTTCCTAAGTGTGACTGTGTGTTTCAGGACACACTCTTCTGTCTTGGCCAAGGTCACTGAGTCAGATATAACACAGATGGTAAAAACAGAAAGTGAGATGAAAACATCACATCCGACCAAGTAGAAACAGATTTGAGTCATTCTGGCTTTTTTCTTTTTCTTATTTTACTGTAGAAAATTTACCAAAAAGCACATCACTGAAATAAATAAACCGCCTGATTCTCATTCTACGTGTATATATACACTTACCATGAAAAATACCATGAATATAATCTAAGGTTTTTATTCTCGGTTCAGACCACACCCTGTATTCAAGTCTACAAGTAAATTCACGGAACATTGACCTCTGACCTCCCTAAGGAAAATAAAATCGACGTTAGTAAAACATTTTCTTTACATCAGTGGTTGTCAAACGGAAAAAAACACAAAGCTGTCAGGCATTCAAAGGCATTAAACATATGATGATGTGTGTGTGTTTTAAAACCTGGTGAAATGTGACTAGGACATGCTAATGCTAGTTTGATCTTTTCACACTGAAAAAGTGAGGTAACGTTAAACGTACGAGACCTCGGTGATGATGATTATTTCATCATCGATGCTACGATGAAAAACATTCGATGAAAAACATTCGATGAAAAACATGTCATTTTTTTTTTGACCTCGCGAAGGCACATCTGTGACACATTTTTGGCTCCCAACCCACTTTTTGAGCAACACTGTTTAGATCACGAGGCCAACTTTTCCGTAAGGTTTTGAAAAATTGCAAAAGTTAATTAATACTGAAGAAAACTCAAGTTCATAAAGACTGTTAATACTGTCTAAAACTAACAACATAAAATAAGATCAGGATTTAATGGTGTGTAAAGACGCTATTAGTTTGCGGTACAGCCCGGTGGCAAGGTTGGGGACTGCTGCTCTAGAGTAGTTTAATTGGACGGGTGTGTAAAAATAAGGCTAATACTGGTACTAACATAACTATCAAATATGTATTTATACAGAGTAGTATCAAACCCTAACTGATAAAAAAAATAAAAATGAATGTGTGTCCGTTGGTCGTAGTACTGATTTGTGTCCCATAATGTGCAGATCACTTATTACTTAAGTGTCGGTGTGCTCTTGCATGTACTGCACTTCTCTGTATACAAACTAATTACAGTCCAGAACCTTCCAGAACCTTTCCCCCGCTGCTCAGACGTGAGCACTCTTGGCATGGTTGGTAGCAGAAGCACCTGACGGGAGAATGGCCCCGCCCAGCAGGCAGAGGATGGTGCCCACCCAGCCCGTGTAGAGGGAGAAGCCGAAGGACATGAGGCCCTGCTCCTGGTGGGCACCGATGGGAAACCAGACGGTGGACACCAGACCGCACAGAGCTGAGGAGGAGAAAAGAGATAAAGATGTAAGAAAGAAGAAAAACACACATCCTACCTTTTTAATCTGGGCTTTAGATAGTTTTCACTTCTTTCCTCTTGGCTAACCTTTAGCTAATTGGTCTAACGTTAACATTTGTTATCATCGTTTGGTTAGCCTTTAGCTATTTTGGGGCTAATGTTTGGCTATCCACTTACTTTTTGGCTTTACCACCAATATCACCGACATTTCTGGCTGAGGCTTTACCACCAATATCACCGACATTTTTGGCTGACAACTTTGCTGCAACTTTGGCTATTTTGAAGCTGAGTTTCCTAAATTTGTTTTGCACACTTTTAGCATTGTCTTAGCTATCCCTTTTCTGGACTTTCATTTAATTATGTGAACTTTGGCTAAGGATTAGCCATTTAAATAAATGACAAATGTTAGCTTCTGTTTTGGCGATTTAGCATTGCCTCTCGCTAATATTTATTACATTTTCATTCAACTTTTAAACCTTCAGTTCTGTTTAACTTGCAGGCCCACTGTGTATACTTTTTGACAATTAGCATGCTACTAAGCTAATGTGTGACAGTTCAAAGATTTCAGTTTGATGCTAGCAGCAGTAAGATGACAGACATTTTTATCCTAGGTTTTTAAATCTTTTGGTAAATGGATGCATTTGACAATTCTGAGCCAGGATTTGGTTAAAAAAAATCACTCTCTGCCAGTTTTGTTACAGTTAATGCAGGACACAGGGGAAAAAAACTGAAACGAAGAAAGGGCAGACAAATATTTGTCAGCAGTAAAATTGTAACAGTAAAAAAAGCGTTGGCTTAAACTTGAAAAGAAAGACTTAACCTCCTCTAAGGCCTGAGTAAACACTGGAGTCCCCCGACGGCGACACTCGCGGTATATTCACTGGATTTCTGCCAACACTCCTCAGTGGCTTAAAACAGACGTTGAAAGTAATTTGAACAACTATTAACTTTGAGATTGAAGGCTCTAATCCCGACCGATTCATTCTGCAAACAGAGTGTCAATGGAATTAAAGCTGGACTGTAATTACTGCTGCCAGTACACGGTGAGTTGAGAGGAAATTAAGAGGAGTTTTGGTCCATTGGGCAAATAAGCTCCACGATGGGACACTAAAGCAACACAATTAAGTTATCTGAGCCAATTCCACCATATGGTAAATAGACTTTTGTGTAGAGGGTAAGAGTTCCTCTCATTCATAACAAAGGTGTGATAAATATGAAACATAACTAAAAAAAACAAACCAGAGTGGATTGGAAGCACAGGAATTTTTTTGAAACCAGGGTGGATTGGAAGCACAGGAACTTTTTTGGGAAATTTGATTTTGAAATTAAAGATGGAATTCAGCCATATTTAGCCACATTTGTCTAATTATTGGATGTAGTGCTTCCTAGAATATTGGCACTGGTATCCACATGGCTGATCACTTTAGTGTTAATTAAAGGAATTCGTCTGTAAAATATAAATAGAAATATAGATCAATTGCTAATTTGTGTGAAATCCCGCTTGGGTTTAAGAACGTTTGTCTCCTTTCCTCAGAATGTTTCTCAAACGTTTAAGAATAAGATGGGAATCAGGTTCTGATGTGATAGTCACGAAACCCTGAACAATATATATTTTTATTAAAAATGTACTTTTGTGTAAAGTAATGTAAGAACTGCATGTATTTGATTAGTTGAAAGTCAGAAACTTTTTTTTTTTACATTTTCATTCCCTACATTTTCATTAAAAAAAACCCGACCCCAAATGCATCAATGCTGATCAAAGCAACATAAAAAAAAAAATCCCATGAGTCCCTGAACTTCTTCTGGAGAAAAGGGAAACAAAAATACTGATTTAAAAACAAATATATCAGGGGAAAAAAAAAAAAAAAAACAGGGCTGCAGCAGCAAATATTTTCATACTGGGCAACAGACAGAGAGAGTTTCCATGTGGTTCAGGTCAAAGTCAGGGTGTGGACCGGAGTAGGTGGAGCAGAGGAATGTGACGGAATCTGTGGGAAGAGGGTTTGATGGAGCAGGGACACAGAACTTTATGCCTGTTGTGGTTCCCCCCTAGAGAGGAAGACGATCATTTCCAACATCCTCAGCTCTCAGCAGCTGGAGGTGCGGTCAAAACAGGACACTGTCCTACAGCCGTAGGTGGAGGACAGAGTGCTGCTCAAAATGTCCACCACAGTCACTTTATTAAGCAGTGATGAGCTCATGGTAGTGAGCCTCCTGATGTGAGCTGATCCTGACCCCCCCCCTCACCACCACCTCATCCTTTTTCTTTTTCTGTGGTATTTACAACTGCTGATGTTGCATTTTTTAATAAAAACAAAAGATTTAAAAAAAAAAAAAGTAAGGGTAAAAATGAAGGCAGGGGGCAGCACTGCTGCAAATGAATCAGAAACTCTATGACCTTTGACCTAATGTGCTAAAGGATGTGAATCAGCAGGTACACTGCCCTCTGTCTGTATTCACATTTTTCTCTTTCTATTTCATTTGGTACAGAGACATTTAATTTTACATTGGTACTTTTACTAAACTTTTTTTTTTCGTTTCTAACTTGTTAGTTATTTTCCCTAGTGTGGGATTATTAAATTCTAATCTCATCTAATCCAATCTAAGTATATATATTTTGCATTGTGCAACACAGTTTAAAGTGTATTGAAGCGGGGACATCGTCAATTTAATTTAATGAAGTAAATTAAAGGATGCCAGGTCTGTAAACAGTACCAAGTACTGCCTAACGTTCCTCTTACCAACGATGATGATCAGAACTCCGCCCACCACCGTGCGTTTGTTCTTGGAACTCAGAGGGTCATTTCCCAGACTGATGCAGGGCATGGACATCAGGAGCATTCCAACTGCCGGGAGACCAAAGATGGAACCCGTGATCATCAGGGCACGGGTCGTCTGGATGTAGGCTGCAAAAACACAGACACTGAATGAAACCAGATTTAAGGGAAAAAAAAAAACGACTATAGGAGAGAGAGCAAACCCAAAGAACAGCGCCCTCATAGGAAAAAATAAAGACAGGTGATAATGTCACGGAGAGGTTTAAGTGCATTTAAATGTGAAATTATTTTTTAAGGAAAACTCGCAACTACAAGATCTGGGTGTTGTTTGGTTTCGGTTTCTAACACCACAGAACTTCGCAGTTTTCAAATCTGTCTCCAGAAGGTCAGAGTGAACGACGCCGAGTGGTTCGTGTGTGTGGAGTGAACTTTACATCAGGAAAACATCAAGAGGTTTGAGAGATTTGAAAAAAAAGGGGGATGGGAGGGTGGAGGACTGGAAGACATCAGCTGACTTACAGAATGTACTAAAAATACTCCAAATGACGACAGTCAGAGTTTTTTAGGCTGTACAAAAACATGACTAGCAAACAAGAACCCGGGCTCTGGTAAGTTTATAATTCTATTATGTTTTTAAGGTTACTCCAAAATGACGTCAAGTAAATAAAACAAACAAACAAATGCACGAGCTGCTAGGCTAAAAACATCCTCTCGCTGCATTAGTACTTGTTAGTACTAGTCAAGAAAAGAAACAAAACAATAAAGAGCGAAGCAAATAAAAAGTCAATTAAAGTTGTAGGTAACGGGCATTTCATGAACAAACACGGTAATAATTTATCCAAAAACCGTGTAACCTACTTCATATTAAGGGGAAAATCTGTAAAGTTTACTTTTCCAAACCCCGACACAGTTAAATGCAAGCAGCGGTTTCCTCACCTGGCAGATCCAGGATCTGCGTCAGGGAGACGCAGTGGTACAGTCCTGTGGAGATGACGCACTCCGCCCAGGGGCCCTTGGCCCCCAGCTCGTCCATCTTCTTGCAGGTGTTGAGTCCGTATTTACACATGATCACCCAGTCGTTGGTGGCTGTCGCGATGATGATGCCCAGCCAGCCGAGGCAGCTGAGGAGGAAGCCGCTCATCTGGAGACACGGATTGGCCATGGCGCAGAGGAGTGTGTGAAGAGGTTCACACGGTTCCCGAACCCGCAACCGTTACAAGGAGGTTTGAATTGATTTAGTGTCGACGAGAGTTATTACAGCGGCTCAAAGTCGCAAATCAAAACCAACAAGCCGTTAAAATAACTTCACCCTGAGCAAATATTTACTTTCACCCACATCCACACCGAGTAATTCCATCAGTTGCCCGCTTTTCAAAAAGATGAATCTTTCACGTCATCGCCGTTTTTATAGTGGGAGGTTCGACTAGGAGTAAAAACTCAACAACTTCCATCCAATCAGAGACTTGGCAGAAAAAACAAGAGGAGAGAAAAAAAACCCCATCACTCGTAACGAGTTTAATGCTCATGTTTTTGTCCCAAATCAGAGTCTGCAGCGAGGAAATGCAGTTAAGACATCTGCTGCCATCTAGTGTTCACAGTTGAAACTACATCGAATACTGGAAAGGCTGTGTTGTAGTTGTCATACAGTTAGTCCTTAAGAGCTTTTTAAATGCAAGTTTAGTCTCAATCCCTGTTATTTCATGATACATTTTTTTTATTTTATTAACATTATTAAAATAATGTCTGTATTTTAGTTAGTTTGTAAAGGTTTTGTTCTACATGTTTTTGTACCTACATTTATCTTTAACTAGTTAGGAATCCATTTTACTGTTTGACAGCAGTGATATAAGTTTTTTTGTTTGTTTGTTTTTATGTTTGTTCTTTTTAGTTTTTTTATAATAATAAGTCAACACTAATATATAATAACACTGTTTTAAAATTAAAAACATATAAAATATTTACAGCATATTTGTAATTGTTTTTGTCTGATTAAAAAAAACTGTAACATCTTTGGAGTCCATTAGGTGTTCACCCAAAAAAATTTAAAAATTAAAATAAATATTAGACCAACTGTCAGCCAAACATGTGTGTATTGTGTAATAATACAGCAAATTCACCTTTGCCCTATACTGTTTTGACAACATATTTTAAAAAAAAACATACTGTGCACGTACCTGCAGTGGTAGGTGGACCATAGTTTGAGACCTGCAGCCTTATCTGTTGATTCTTTTCTGCACCATCTCCAGCTGTGGGAGAAACACAAACAAGTCTGTTGAAACACATTCATATGAATGTGTGGCACTTAACTGTAGATGTTCTTCCTGATGCTCACACACACACACACACAGATCCGGCCATATTGTGCACATGGTCACAGTCAGGGTAATGAATCAGCCACACTGCACTTACAACCATAAATGACCTTTAATGCACATGGTAAATTTATTCCACTGTCTCACACAGTGGAATATAGTATATGATCTGATGTGTCAGCACTGAATGAGCAGATTAAAACTCATCTGCAGCCGCTGCACTTTTCTGGCTGAACTTAAAGTGGCCGACCAGTGAAACTGTTACATCATTTTTGCATCTTTTTTTTTTTTTTTTTTTCCTCAAGGTTCTTCCTTTTTTTTTCTCCCCCCCTTTCGGTGGGAGCAAAAACGCCCCACAC